TTTCATTTTCTTTTTCTGAATAGACCCATAATGTCCAGGGAAAATATCAAGAATAATAAATCCCAATCTCTGTGTAAAATATACCTTCATGACACACTCAAGCTGGAAATCACAGGAACCAATAAAAATGCAGGCAGCCTACTGATAATGAGGTCAGAAATACAAATAAATTTACTTTTAATGAAGACTGGAGGCACAGTAATCAAAGTGTTAAAATTCATTTCATGCATATCTCATTTGCTTCTTAGCTGATATTTACCACGCAATTCTGTGAGAAAGTAGAGGCCTAAGATGCTCCAGATAAATGGCTCAATTAATTGTACAGAGGTAGACCTCTTTGAGCCGAGCCAGAGCTGTGAGCTCTTTATTAAAAGCACTATTCTGTAGCCCCTAACCTTGTTCCTTGACTCCTCTCTGGTTTCCAATTTAAACAAGTCCCCATGCGGCCTGCTCTAAAGGGCTTTGTCTCCCTGTCATTGTTAAGAGCGCTGAGGCATCCTGGAAGTGTGAAATCAGACCTCATGAGTTGAACGGTTCCCCAGGGAACGCCGGACTGCGCAGAAGGTCAAAGTCATGGGCCGGACCATCTCAAAGTGTCTGATCGCCGGTCTGTGACACAGCAAGTGGGGTGGGGGCGAGACTGAAGAGGAATGAAATTGAACACATCTTAATTAAAGCCCACAGACAGCAAAACAAAATGTTTTCTAGGCAGCCTGTCAAATGGGGCTTAAATTTAGCTCTGCTAATGAATCTGAGCTGCTCACTGTTATTTTGTAAGATAATAAGACTCTCATCACAGAAGCTGATAAAAAAAAAAGAAAAACTGTAGCATGTCTTTTTCTGCTGTTTTGTTACTTAAATATTTTCCAACAATGAAGACAGTTTTCCAAAAGGAAAACATGGAAAAGTCTATGCAAATAAAGGGGGCACTAAACATTTCTCTTTAATAACTAGTTGCTTTCTAGACTACAGGGCTGACATGCCACAAGTCTTTGTTCATAGTTTAGTCTGGGGGAAAATGTTCATTTAATGGGACAATTTCAGTGACTATTAATCATAATCCCTCTTCTCTTCTCCCCCTATTGCTTCCTGAAAGAGATGGCACATTCATTTCAAAACCAGTTCACCTGGGAGAGGACCTTTTAACACAGTGGCAAGATCTCCCAGTTCTTCCTATCACTGTTTCTGAGGGGCTAGTCTCCCTGGAGAGGGTATGACCTCCTCCTCAGGGGAAAACAAGAAACAAACAAACAAACTCCATAGCCCTGGGGAAATGAGGAGGAGGGCCTGAGGAGCCACCAGGGGAGGTTGAGGAAAGGGCTGAGAAGGACTCAAGCTGGAGGAGAGTGGGAGGAGGGCCGAGGAAGAGGAATCTCTTCTTCCTTTTGGAACTTGAAAGAACTCATCTTCCAGGTTTAAATACTCTGCTGAGAAAGCCTCACTCAATACAGAAGACTTGAAATGCTTGTCACATGCAGAAATTAGGCCCTACTTAAGGACAAACAATAACCAGGAGCAAGAAAAAGACAAAACGCAAACCATTTCATTTCCTGTCACACACACACACACACACACACACACACACACACACACACACACACACACACACACACACACACCCCAGTTGGCCTTTCTGGTCTCACAATCTGGCCAGTTTTAGGGAACATGTGATTTCATGTCGGAAAGAATTCTGCCCCGAAAACAGGACCAGGGCCTCTAGCTTTGCTTTGACGGTACAGAGAAGCAGTAACCTCTCACTGGGTGGCTGAAGCGGAGGGAATAAGGTGCACTTAGAAGTATTTTTCAGTTACTCAAACTTTTTCCCTTGGAAGAATTTAGTGCACCAAGTCTTCAAATCCCAGTGCCACTTTCTCAGGCTGTGAAAGGCTGTCCACAACTTGACTGAAATTTCAATCCACTCTTGTGCTGTGCTCAACGTGTGCATATGTGTGGGAGTTGTAAATTGAGGCCTTAACCACCAGAGTTAATCTCTTTTAAAAATCTGTATTAACCTTAATGATTTGAAGTGCACTGTCCAACACTGGGCTATTGAGACCGAAGAGAAAACTACCCTTGACTATCAATAGTTTATTAGGGGCTTAACTGAAGTGACCTACTGTAGTAGTAGTGTTCAGCCGAACAAGGCTAGAGGCTTTTTGTGGAAAGGGAAAGAACTGAGGGTTTCATTAAAAAGTAATTTGTGCTTTATACTCACTCATTCAAAGAGTCTCAATTGCTCTTTATTCACACAGAGTTAATACAGTATCACAATGTTTCTCAATGAATGTGTTGTAACAAAAGAAAAATTTTACATTTTGAAAGGAAAAAATTCTTTGTAACAGCAGTAAGATTGATGGCTACTTAAAAGATTACAGAATCTTTCTTCCCTGTGCTCATTTAATGTTGGAATATTAATTGAAAATTGTGCTTATGTGGCTTTATGTTGTAATGATTAAAAGCATTTTAAAAATATATAAAAGTTGTTCAAGTGTAAGTTTGTCTTGTTAGATTACTGTAGAAAAGAAGTATTCTGAAGCCAAATATTGTCTAACTATAGCTTCATTTGTACCAGTCAGAAAATATTCCTGGCTTAGCATAGAGAATTACTCATGATTTTAAAATTCCCTTTATCCATCCATAAGTTTCTAGATCAGTGGTTCTCAACTTGTGGATCACGACCCCTCTGGCAGTCTTCTATCTCCGAAAATATTTACATTACAACTGATAACAGTGGCAAAATTATAATTATGAAGTAGCAACAAAAACAGTTTTATGGTTGGGGGTCACCATAGCAACTTAACTATGTGTACTATAGGGTTGCAGCCTTCAGAAGGCTGAGAACCATAGCTCTTAGATGTGTGCTTGTTTGAAGTCTTGAAGACAGAACAAGCTATTCAACTCCATCTTTTCACTTTTCCTTCACATTAGGCAGAGCTTGACTGTCATTAACCATTAAGATGGACATCAACTTTTCAAAGTTCTATGAACAAAAGACAAGCACACGAAGAGCTTGTTTGTGCCCTAAATTGTTCATATTTTCATAAGTAATATTACTTTTTAAATTAATAATATTTTTAGACATTTCTGACTTAAATACATGGTCCATAATTTTTGCCACCATCAGAAATATCATAAAAGCCACAGAGGGTCCAAGGGTGAACAAGGTCAAAGACAAAATTATCTACTTGGCTCCTGAATAGTTCAACATCTCTCTTGTTTCGTCCTGAGCCCATTAGATTATAAGGTCAGCATGGAATGAGGAATCATTAGATTTATATCCGTAAAACTGAAGGGAAAAATTGAGATTCAGTTATTCAGGATTCCCCAAATTAATGTTCACTTTATCAAATAAAAATTATATCTCACTGAATCTCCAGCAGAAAGACCATTGTTATTCACATTGATTTACATAGACCCATTAGGAAAGAAATATCTCTATTTTTTCCAACTTTGAAAGAACATGTCCTTTAACTTCCATAGTGGCATACAGGCCAAGGAAGGTAACCTAGTTTGCATATTCATGAAGTTTTAAAATCAATGACAGCTTCTTCCAAGAGGAGACAAACTTACACAATTGCATTCAGCTTGAATAATGGCAGGTACCTAAGCGTTTGAAATAACAGTTATGTGAATTTTTCCATAAGAAATTATTGTGCACAGATTAATTCACTGATAACTATACAAGAAACCAAGTTCTTAAGAAAGAAAATGTATAAACTCACCATTCACAAGTTTTTTTTACTACCAAATGCTAAGATAGCTCACACTCAAAGATTACAGCTAACCCAGCCCCATTATTCTCAGGTATCCATTTACATATATATAAAAGTGTTATTGTCTTCAGTTACAAATGAGTTGGTAATTGTCTTTTCAAAGAAACTATAAATCCCTAACATTTTATATCTGTCACATATTATACTCAAGTGATAATATATAAATATGAAAAATTTAAATATTGCCATTTTGGAGCAAACATCTGCTATTTAATTTTGAAGGGAATTATCTTTTAATCTGTTTTCAATTCTGCTGGATGAATTAAAAAAGAATACAGTGATCTGTAGACCACTGAACGGTAAGAAAAGGATAGTATTTTATTCAAATAAGTCTGTAACTTTATCAGGGCCATCTTGCTTAACATTTAGAATGATATGCTTATTTCCACAAATAATAAGCCAATGTTTCCTAGCACGGTGAGATTTCCATGGAACTGGCAAGTCAGTACAGTCTTGCCATCCAATTTTAGATAGATAATTCAATGGATGGTATGAACATCCCTCAAATCCTTATGGAATTAGATGACAAATGAATGGTCAGAGTTCCAAACAAAATAATTAACTCTGCATCTTGGTGATATAAACACCATCATCTCATTTGTTAATATATTGAATAAACAGTGATACTAAACTAGGGAAGACACATGACTCATTTTGCTGTTTTTTTACTCCTATGTTCTGGGTGAAAAGTAATGTATATACCTAGTTTAGATACATAATTACTTTTATAGTATACTGAAGAATTTGTGTAACCAGGGAATTATAGTAGCAACCGCAATATAAAGCATTCACATGATTGAATATTACATTGTTGAACTTCTCAGTGAGTGAGGCAACATATTCCATGAGTGTTTGACTTACAGTATTTATGCTGTGAGCAAAGCAGGTGATGACTGACAGAAAATGGCTCTCTGTTGCTTCAGTATTCCACAATGAAAACGCCTGGACACATCACTCCTACTACATTGATTAAACTTCGGGAGAGCAATAATTCAGAAGTTATTTTTATTTTTATAATTTATTTTTAGTGTATCACACTGTTTAAAATATAGAACTGTGTAGGCATCTGGGATTATCAAATGTTTTGTGAGATCAACTCTGCATCTTTCCATTTCCACCTATGACTTCAATGATCCACTGAGATAAAATGCAGGGCTGGATTATTCCATTGCACAGACTTGGCGGCACCTTTGATATATACAGTAGGGGAATTCCATCAGCTCCTACCTGTGACATCAGCAGCCATCAAACCTTCAGCTCTGATGACTTTCACCTGGAGAAATCCCACGTCTTTTAGGTTGTTAAATATCCTCAGTGGGCTCTGGAAAAAAAAAAACCCAAACATGGACATTAGGAAAAGAAATCTAAAAAAGCCTCAAAAATATACTTAGAAAATACTAAATTTTCTCAGGCTGTTTTCTTAGGGGTCAAAGGGTCATTTGTGCTTTTCCAATACAAATTCTACTTCCGATGTCAGGAATGCATACAAATGCATGTGTATATGAGCACATCCATGCATGTGTGCACACGCACACTCACAATTGTATAATTAGTGATAAATTATTTTCTGAAATAAAAATACCACAGTTACTACCTATAAGTAACCCTCGGTAGATGGTGAGCGATAAGCCACCAAGCAGATGTCTCCATAGCTTCTCTCATTGTCTTCTATTAAAGGACCTCACAAATCTTCATTTGTAAATATGATAGTTTGAAGATGATAATGAACAGTATTAACTCTTATGTAAGTGCTTACATAGCACTCCTCAGACAGGGAGTTATCAAGAAAATTAACACTAACAAATTATTTTCTGCCATTTCATACTTAGTGCTTAGATAAGGGGTAAATTTTCTAAAGAGTTTGCTAATAGTTCATTCAAAGACATACATAGTTTTATAAAAATTTTGAGAGACAATTTTAAAAAGCAAATCAAATCAATAAATCAAATCAAATCAAAGGTGGTGAGAATTTTTTCTTCAGTTTATATTTGTATTTGCTATAATGTATAGAACCATTGAGTTTTTGATAGAAGAGCCTGATGATAAAAATCAAAAACTGACTGTGATATCTTACTAAGCAGAGTACTTGAAGTAGGCAAGGAAGAAAGCCAACACAATTAGCTAGAAATCTAATGAGTGGGTAAATAAAACAACAGAGCATTGATATGTATTTTGTTTATATTTCATATTGTTTTTCTTATGGTAAGGTCAGGGCTTCTAATGAGTAAATCAAAGACACTTAATTTCTCACCACCTTTAAAATGTTTCATGACAAGGTAGTTTAATATGCTTCTGCATAAAAAGTTATCTATCAGAAATTGCTAGAACACAAACAACCCCATTAGTGTATTACCAGTGTGAGGGTATGCACAAAGCGAAGCTTCTATGGTACAAACTTTATCAGTCCTGATGGCCTGTCCTTATTTACACTGACGCTCTAACCTTGGTACAGCGAAAGGAAGAAAGACAGACAAATGTGTGATCTCATAGCATGACTGTAAAGACAGTGCTCAGTATGGAAGGCCACCTCTTAATCTCTAATCATAAACAACTGTTTTTCACCAAAAATTTATTTTAAGGCTCATTTGACTGGATTTAGTAAAAATGCACCTGTCTCTCTTTTTAAATTCTTACAAAGGTTTGTCATTAGCAGCAGTGTTAGGGTTCTGAGGCTTCCAGGTGCTCTGTGTCTTACAGCACAGATAAAGTTGGTGAGGGACTCATCTCAGAGCCCACTCGATATATTAAACCAGCTAGGAATTCCTCCTTAATGATGGGGAACAGCTTCATCACAAGGGTTAGCACTTTAATTTTTTCAGGAGCAATTTAAACCAAGTTTCCTTGTGACTAAAACAAATATCATCAGTTAGAACATTTTGCTCTGGGAAGCTGAGGGAACAGCCACAGCCACACTGTCTTGGGGGCTTCCATTCTGGGGCTCTGCTTTGCGTTTGGAGGGGTGATTATAGTTTGAAGTTTTCATTCTCCAAGTCACCTGACACTTGACAATTTATTGCAAATTTCTACTGTTTAGGCCAGTGGCATATAGATTATAATAAGAACTCAAAGAAAAAGCAAATAAATACCAGTTTAAAACTGTAATTTTATGAAAAGCTTTATCAAGGGGTGTTCCTGTGTTGTTATTTATGGTTATTTTAGAAGGCCTCAGTACCTGGATGGCTTTTGAAGCCAGAAATTTCCATAGCAGAGGAATCCATGATCTGCTGTGAATCCTAAGCCCTCAATAGATGGGAAGAGATTGAAATGCTCTGGAGAGGAGTCCTCTTTATTTTTTTAATGAAAGGCTGTATAATATATTTTCTCTATGGCTGCAGCAGCTGTCAGGGAGAGCATCGCAGTTCAGCTCTATTACGGGAGAGGCAATACCCCATCCTAGGGTACAGAGATGCTCTGAGGGGCCAGAGCTGATTGACAGCTTGTCACCATGACGTCTTATTCCATCTCTGTTATGGAGAAAATTAATGTCACACCACCAGCCTTATGACTTGCTGTCATCTTAGAACCGCTCACCTTTTATCAATGCTCTAAATAACATTTCAAGCCCATCGTCTCACGGTGGACAATCCGGTCAAGGGACATTAAATCAGATGACTGTGAAATGTCATAATAAAAATGGAATGCTAACAACTTCTTCTCTAAACTAGCTCCTCTGGTTTTTAAACTGTGACAAGGAGGAGCAGGGGTTCAGCAAACCCGTTCTGAAAAGGTCAAACAGCAGCTCTTGGACTCCTACCCATTACTACCCGCCCCTACTGACCTTCCCTCTTCCCCCCTCCAAAGAAGAAAAGAACAGGAAAATGGAATTAACCACCTTTTCAGAATGTGGTGATCAAATAGTAGCTCACTCAGGAATGTCTGGTTAATTTGTGGGGTTTCAGTGCTCAGCAGTGACAAGATTCTCTAGGGCTGTTTCATATCAGAGTGGAGCAATTCATTACTTTCCCTACCCTACCAGCACCAAATACAAACCAAATCAAATTCTTAAGTTTAACCTACACTTTAAACACACACACACACACACACACACACACACACACACACACACACACACACACCATGTGCATTTTTAAAGGAAAAAACACAGAAATAATTTGCTGAACAGTAGTTCCCTTTACCTGTTTCATCAAAACAAGGTATATATTAGACATCATGCAAAATTCATTCATTTCATAATGCACAAAGTATAAAATACATTAAATCCACCAAGAGGTTGCTCTTTGTCCTTGTACTGTTGTGAGCTAACACTAATATAGCACATTCAATGTTCTGCATTACCACTTCTTAGCAAGTGTGTCTCGAGAGGGAGAGGGAGACCAGTGCCTGAAAATTGAGGTTACAAAAAAGCATATTTAAACATAATTCACCTTTTAATGCATTGGGAAGAATATATCCTGAGAATCAGCTGAGATGCCAAACATAACAGTTTACATTTCATTGAAATAAGTAGCATTTTGGAAAAGATGAAAAAACAAAGTATTCACATTCAGAACGGAGACAGCTGATTAAAGGAAGTCTATTCAATAACAAAAAAAATCAATCAATAATAGGTGGATTACTTCTAATTGTGTAGACAGCAGTATCATCTTCATACATGAGATAATATTAAAATAGTGATCCAGTAACTACAGAATGTTAATGCCCAGATAAATTTTCATGTTAATATACCAATTAATTCCTTTACGGTAGTTTTAATTCAGAAAGCTCATTTCTAGTAACTAGAGAATATACTTTTGGTGGAGTAGCAAAATGTGAAATAATTTTCATAATTGCACTTATATATTAGAAGATACTATACAATAACTTAGGCTCTTAGGTGGTTTAAAAATACACACGATTTAGCCTTGCTAAGTCACCTCTATTAAACTGTTTATGATAATACCATTGGTGGATGAGTTGTACAAGCATTAGCAGACAGCTGATTCAGTGGAGATAGCCAGAATAAATTTGCTGAGGCGTACATCCTGCTAATCTGTTTGAAGAATATTGTAGAGCATTCGTACGGGCACTTCATGTTAGCTGCACAACCTGATAAGGTACGTCTTTATTAAATTCAGTTATTGAAAGGATGTCAGTCAGCAAATAGGAATAGGTTTTTAAAAAGCCATTCTTTGTTAGTCGAGCTTGGTTTCATGACTGAGTGTCTAGAGGAGCCGTCTAAACACCTGGCAGCACTGTACAATACAAGCTTTGTGATTTGAAGTGGAAAAGCCTTCCTCTAGCTTCATGGGTACCAAGGCATTTACTTTTCCAAGCCTCCATTAGGAGACAATGGTGGAGCAAGAGCTCCCCCCTCTGTTGATTCACGACAACTACATGGTGAGAAATGCACCCAGAAAGTCGCTGGGAAATATGAAGATTTGACTATTTAAAGGACATAGCATTTGAGAAGGGTGATTATTGGCACTCCATTCCACTCTCATACCTCACATTCAATCAGAATGATGGGGGCTACATTTTGATTGCATTTCACTTTCATACTGACTGCATGCAGTTAGGCTTTTCTGAACAGTAAACATCACTCTGTAGTTCCCAACTTCCCAGTATGCCAATAACCTCATTTTAGACTTCAAGTCGTACTTGAAATTACACAGAGCCACGGATTAATATTAAAGGGATGAATACATTTGAGTTCCTTTATGGAGAGTTTCTCTATATGATAAAAATCACAAGGTAGAACCTTAGAATCCAGAATGTGCTGTGAAATTCTGGAGATGACCAAGCTATAGACATCAGCAGGAGATGCCGAGGCTCCTGCAGGGCTGCATGTATCTATGTGGGCCCACCCTCTGCTCCTCGAACACCTCCTCCAAAATCCACTTGTCTTTCTGGGCACACTGTGTACAACCTCGTCTAGTCACACATGGGTCTGTAAGGAAGCTCATTGCATACGTACATATCTCTTTAATATCTCTCCCCGCTCCTTCTGGTCCTCCAGGGAGTGGACAGAGAGGTCGGAGATGCTGACTGTGGCCGAGGCTGTCAGAGTGACAAGCAGAACCAGGTGGCCCTCACCCTCTTCCAGCTGTAACTCCAGCTTGTGCGTTTGCTCCCTACTGAGGGACGACAGGTCAACCTGGCACCTAGAAACAAATGTTTTGAATTAGCAAGTGGCGTTCTCACCACATCAAACAGACATGGCTTTGTCGGAGCCCTGCGAAAGATAAAGCAATAGAAATACCATCTGGGACAGTAGAAGATCAACTGCCTTTCTTCACAAAATTCAGACCCTGGCTATCACAGAACTTTTACTTGCTTGTTTCCTATAAGATACAAACTCAGGTGAAGTTGAATTAGTATATCCTCTGATACTGTTTTCATGAATTGGTGGGGGTTCTTGGACCTATTCAGGAGGAGGCAAACTACTAAAAGCCTGAGTGTCCATGCCACTGCTGCCATTTTGTGATCCCTCCTTCCAATTCATAAATGTCATTGAATAGCAAATAGAACTTTCACTGTGGGGAGCTTAAGTTTTACACCTTTGAAATTGTACTTACGGTACACTCACTAAATCTAAATGTGTCCTCTCAGGGCTGCACAATGCGGCAAGCCACGCTGCATGTGCCACTCTTGCAGTTAAAACACCTTGCACTCTTTTCATAAAAATGTCAATTGATTTTGAGGAGGTAGATAATATAGTGACTATCAGGCTAATAACCCGAGAGGCGGGGAGAAGGGGAGAAAGAGCAGGGATAAAGAAAAAAAACATTTCAAACAGGAAAAGGGGTTGATGAGACTGCTGGGGGAGGGGGGTGCGGATGCTGGCTGCTAAGCTTGGACGTCTGAGTTCCAGCTCTGGGACCCGCGTGGTGGAAGGAGAGAACCAATTCCCACAGACTGTCTGCTAACACCCACTCATGTGCTGTGACCCACACCAAAAAATATGATGGAAATTAAGAAATAGCCAATTACCAAAGTAAATGTTCTCAATATATCATAAATGAGATGGGATTAAATGCTTGATCCTTTTCATTCCTCACTCTACCATTTATTGCTTTGTTTTAAAATTGTCTTTAAATAATAGTAGGATAATAACAGTATCTAAAGTCTTCAAAGATTGTACCTGAATTCAAATATCTCTCTTATGAGATTTCACAAAATGAATGGGAATCTGACATTTACTTTTATTTTGTGCACAGCATTAACAATGACTATGACTAGACACAGGATATGCGCTAAATTCTATTATTGAGAGAGTTAGAAATTAGTCTGTACAATTCTGGAATACACTTTCCAAATGCTAGGATACCAGAAACCTCATTGACTCCATTAATACAACATTCAATTCAAAATACTATCACTAAGTCTCCTCGTGGTAAAAAAGTTAAAAATAAAAAGCCCACACAATGCCAAATGCCTTATCTAACATTCTAATTGTAATTAGAATCAAATTCTCAATAACACCCGCAGTAAACTGAAAGTTAAAACACATCAATAAAAAACAGTCAAAAGGAGTCTCTCATGAAAGGAGGGACATGAAAATGGTTTTAGAGACCTCTCCAGCTCTGGCACAGTGCCTGGTCTTACTGAATGGGTCAGGAGTGGAACTAGATAACTGAACAGGGTTGTGATCCACACAGAATGTTGGCTGGGTACAGTTGGGACCAACAAGGGTCTTCCGTTCACCTTGTTTTTGTTCCACCCCACCCCCAGTCAGTTTGTCCACATACTTGTAGGCTCCTCCTTCCTTCCTTCCTTCGTCTTGTATAGGATGTGTGCTGTCATACACAGAAAAGCGCTGGATACACACAAGCCTCTGGCCATTTCCCTTTCAAGCTCATGACCACTTTGCATGGGCTGTGTGGACGATCAGGCTTCCTTTCTTTCAGAGTCGCCACAGGAGAGCTTCAGAGTGCTGTCAAGGTTACTTCCTCTAGAAATTACAAACTGGCAACTTTTAGATGGAATCACACCCATAGATCTAGTGTGTGTGTGTGTGTGTGTGTGTGTGTGTGTGTGTGTGTGTGTGTGTGTGTGTGTGTTTGTGCATGTGCAAATGATTGTGTGTGTGTGTTGTGTCAAATAAAAGTTCAATTCTAAATACATTAATTTTGAATACAGGACACATATTCCCTGAATGAGTGACTATCACCATCTCTGCCTGTAGCTGGCCTATTTCACTTAATTACTCTACCTGCTCCAATGGGTATTAAAAATTTGTGAATCCAGCAATCTCCAACATGCCAGTGAAAAACTGAGGAACAGGAAGGTCACATGACCTAAATGGACACACACAGTAATGACCAGAGTCAGAGCCAGTCCCTGGGCCTCTGAAATGGAAGACCTAAGCATTCTCAGCTCCAAGGCTGTTGCTGAGTAACTGCATTCTTGGAGGAAAGCCTGCAGTTAGCAATGGTTCTCAGAGATGACCAGACATCTCGGTTACAGGAAACATCTCCATTCCAAGTGTAGAATTTGTGTTGTTTTTATTTCAGTGTTTTAAACTACAAACATGTTAGGGAAGGAAGCTGTTTGTTCTTACAAGAGCATTTCACAAATGAAAATTTAAAAGGTGTGACACCAGTAAAATTCAAACAAGATAAATTTATAGGAATGTTTTTCCTTCATCAACTAAAACTTCAGTATTGAATATGCTCACAGGAAGGGCCATGTGTATTGTTTCAGCATTTTGACTGTCCTAATTTTAATATAGAGAACAATAATGTGCTGGGCATGAGAGTGTTCAATGTTAAAACATGGGAGGTTTTCACTGTGGTTCCTCAGACATCTTATTCATCTAAAATTCTGCTCAGGAATATGATGCCGCTTTAAATGTCAATTTTTTTTTGCTATGACTTAGCCAAACTGTCTTGTTAACTTGAAGATAAAGTTTGTATCACAACTTCATTGCTGAGTATTAAATCAAATGACTGCTGGGATCAGATGTAGAAAAAAAATTCCATTCTCTTCCAGCTTTTGAACAAATATGTACAAAGACAGAACCCTTGTGGCATAGTCTACCACCCTGTGAATACAGCACTAATTGGTGTGGGCTGAAGTGCTTGTATGGGGTTCACCTGTGCTGATAAATCCCTCGCAAGGAGAGGACTCATCACAGACGAACTGTAGAAGTAAGTGACTGTCCGGGGACCGGGGACCGAGGCATGTAAGGAATGCTTTTCAAAAATGAAAACACGAAATTATTTTTTAAAAAGCAGTAATGTAAATTCATGAACTCCAAAAATACTTGACAGGGATGAAGAGCCCAGAGTCATTTCCTTAGTTCAGGACTCCGTTCCCACTAATTAGTTGTATGACCTTTTCCAAGACAACTTTCCCTCTTGAGTTTCACTTTTCTCATCAGCAGTTATGAGCTCATTGAACTAGATGAACTCGGAGAATCCCCAGTCTCACAATCTGTGATAACTCTATCCATGTTTACACTTGCGTCTTTCTTTCTTCACAATTCTACAAACTAAAAACCTAAAAGAACAAGTTTATCTTATAGGTAATGAAATATTATTCCTTATCCATCTTATAAAGCAAAACAAAGCAAAAAACCCTTGAAAGGCTGTGTAAGAAGAAATCTATATAATCTAATTTCATACCATATTGTAAGCAATAGCACTGGGTGCCTCTAATGTCAGCATGGAGGAGGATATCAAAAGAAGGTGCTGTAGACCCTTCTCTTTGGCTCAAAGATAACTCACTTCACGTGTTTTCTAGCAGGGAGCTACACATACAGTTTTAAAACATATTTAAAATATCATAATTACTTCCCTAGATTCTCCAGGAGACTTGACCTCCTGGGGCTCAGTCACTTGCTGTGACTAAGATGTGACTTTGATTTTTGTGTCCCAAAAGGCTGCTCTTCACGCCACTACCTTCACTAGTCACTGTACCTGAGTCCTCACAGCTCTTCTTCCTACAAGTTGTAATCTTGCCCTTGCCCAAATGGACTGGGTCCTGTCCTTGGCAGTGGTGACTGCCAATCCGGATCTAGCTTCCACATACCTGGACTTTCTGGCTTCTAAGGCCACTTCTACATTTGGATACAAAGCCACACTGTAGAATACAATATTGCTCTCAGAACCTGTCAATGGAGCCCCAATGAAACATGAAGAGGTTGTTTCCTGTGGAGTGAACTTTTATCAGTAGAACAGGAAGTGGGAAGACAACTTCTGATACCTCTTTCGCTCTGACAGACTACTCCAAAATATGATCTGACAATATTGCTTGACTGCAGATGGCGATGTACATATACCTCCGAAGCAGCGTTTCCCTGATACACAGAAAACAGTGAACACCTCGGCAGCGTATTACCTTGTATTGTTTGCCAAGGCTCCTTCTTCTTCATCATCTCGTACCTTACTTTCTGGGAATACACCTCCCAGTAAATCAGCAGCGCCAAATTGTTGCCTCAGAGTTTGTTTCTAGAGAACCCAGGCTAAGGTGAAATGTGCTGATACAGTTTACACACACTCTCAATTTTGGATGTTAAAAACTTGACTATATCCCTATTCCTGCTTCCCTCCCCCTAAGAAATATCCCCAGTGCCCATCTGACAGTGCCCTCAGGAAGCTATTATCAGCCTGTATGTGACTTGTCCATGCCACACTGTGCCACTCCAGTCTACCCATATTTTTCACCAGGTTCTGGAGGTCTGGATGAGACATCTTCCATGCCTGAGGTGATAGTCTACCTACCTTTCCTTGGCTAACTTTTACTAACCCTATTGAAAAACCTTTCAGTTGTCTTTCTTCATGTCCTGAAGCATCTCTAGGAGGGGAGTAACATCTTGTCCTCTATAGCATGTAGACTCTATTTAGTGCTTTCTGAGTATTAAACTCTTTACAAAGAAATGCTACTTCAGAGAGGCCAAAGAGTGACCTTCATCATGGTAAGGCCAAAATTAATGCCTAATACTCATTCTGAACTTCTGTCCCATCTACCTAGAAAGTGATCTGATTCCCTCCCTCCCTCCCTCTGTCCCTCCGTCCCCCCTCCCTTCCTTCCTTTCTTCCTCCCTCCCTCCGTCCCTCCCTCCTTTTCTTCTTCTCTTTCTCTCTCTCTCTCTCTTTCATTTTGTTTGACCTATTTATGACACTTATCTCACTCACTCACTCATGTGTCAGATCCTCTC